TGGAACGCAGACCCGTTAATCCTACGTAATGGCATAGATGCGGCCGTGTTTAAAGATGCTACAGAATGACCATTCGCTTTGGTGACCTGGTTAAACTAAATTCTAAGGGAAGCCAAAACTACTTTTAGCATCAAAGCCCCTAAGTCAATCTCGAAACGCGTTGAAAATAGGTAGTCCGCCCTATGCAGGTCGTCCTCCATCTATCTATCTCGGCATCATTTTGACAGCTGAAATTATAACTGCTTCTGTGACCGGGGTGAGCTAACTCACAATACGTGTACGCTGGCAAAAATCTAGTAAGGGGAAGTCAAACTACTTTTAGTTAAGGCCCCCTATGCCGACCTTTGGATACATCAATAGTTTGACATCTCGACATCGTTTTGACGGCCGAAATTATGAGTAACCGCTTTGGCAACTTGACCCAATCGAATTCTAAGGGAAGCCAAATCACTTTTAGCATCAAGGCCCCCTAAGCCAACATCAAAACACGTCGGCAATCTCAAAGCACAAAGGTATCTCACTGCTGACCTAATAAAAAAAATAAAAGAAATTGAGGAAAGGAAGACTTCATAGAGGATTTCATACAACCAGCGAAATAGAGAGCATGTCACCTTGGGCCTCATCTTCAAACAAGCTGCACCCTTCGCCGAATTGACCTCGACTCGAGTGTGGGGGGCAATTGATGAGGGTAGATTTGGCCATTCGTTGTCCTAGAAACACGTGGCACAATAGGACCGCCACATGACACCTCAACACCACAAAAACAGTTGTGGATCCCACTAAGTCAAGGAGGCACACCTCAGAGCTAGTCCGAGCACTTCGTACACAACTCGAGCACCTTGGTAGGGCAGCTAGCAGCACCTCGTTCAGGGCCCACCTGTGGTACCTCGTCGTTATCGGTCCACTGGATCTCGGCGTTAGGAGCGACCTCCTCGAGGACTTGTTGACGTGTGGGACCTTTTTAGTACCGGTCGAAGTGACCATGTGAGGAGTGACCTCCCTTGAGGACTTGCCGACCTGACTAAGGTCCAGTTGGTGACCTGTGAGACGTGCTTGCCAACCTCCTTTGCATTCATCATGTCACTCATGGGTCTCTCAAAAGTTGGCTCTCGCACTGAATGTTCCAGAGGAAACAAAATACGGGACAAAGCTTGGTCTACGTGTGTGACAACCTCCGAGGACTTTGGACCGGTCAGGCATGTCTTCCTAGAGATCTTGGACGTGGTGTGTGTAGCCCACGCCAAATGATGCCTATATAAAGGTCTCATCTCCTCCCTGAGAGAAAATGTATATGTGATTTAACTCTCAAATATTAGTAATCTTACTTTTAGCTCTCTCTAAAACCTCCAATTCGTTAACTTAAAACATCAGAGTGCCCACACCGTGTAAAGAACCCAGACACTTTGACCTATCTTCTTGCAACTCGACCAGACAACCTCACTAGCCCGATGTTCGAACTATCCTCCAACATGGAGCATTAGATCACTTATCATTCCCGGCTACAAAATTCTTCCTAGTTCTAGGTAAAAGGGCAGACAACAAACAGAGCCTAAGATACCAAATTCCCAAGAGGTATGGATAAAGGGGAAAACGACCATACATAGCATTACGACGGTGAAAAGAGGAGAGATGGAGAGAGATAGGTAAACGGGTAAAGAAGAGATACCCTATACTCAGAAAAAGAAAACAAAACAGACAGTTTGTGGTGCAATCCTCAGCGGAACCATAGGACCGACCGATCATGGTACAACAAATCAGACGGATCCTTCAGTTTTTAAAAGCCTTTTGTCTCAAATATGTCTCGATTGGAAGTTGGGCCTGCTTACAATAAAAAAGAATGAAAGTCGGGCCCCACATCACAGTTGCATCAGGCTTTTTTTCTTTGGTGGGGTCGTGCCGATAGAAGAGAAAAGAGGGTATTAAACTATTAACGGTACAAGAAACAAAATTTCGTCCACCCGTCCCCTCCCGTTTAGAGGGACCTGGTCCTGGAATCAAGTTGCCACATGGCACTTGGAAAAAAGCAGAGACGTCTGTTGACCGCTGGCCTGCGAACCCAGTGCCCCGACTGGTTCCTCGCTGTCCGTACGGGTTAGGTTCGGTGCGGTTCACTGCCGGTCAAGGGTGACCGACATGGTACGGGTTCAGGCTTCAGGGCGGAGAAGATGAACTGCTTAATCCGAGGTGGAACCAGCAGAGTAGCAGAGAAGCGGTGTTTTGATCTTCCCCAAAAAAAAAATAAAGAAATACAACTCCGTGTCGTCTCGTATGTGCGACTCTGGTGAGATTCTGGAGAAATCCGGTGAGGCCCTATCTTTTGTTTTTCCATCGGGGAATCTCTCTGACCGGAACCAGGAAAAAAAGTAGGTGTCAGCGTTCCGGACAAAAGCCGGTAAAAGAAAGGAAACATAAATGTAAAACTAATAACAATAGGCTTGGCTAGTCACTTTGCTACATTAAATTCGCCAAAATGGTTCCACTGATGTTTTGTCTCACTCGTTTGTCCAAACTTACACCCTCAATTTGTGCTCGCCTCCCTTGCTTTGTATTCTTTAGTTTAGTTGCTATCACAACAAAACAACATTGCTATTTGCTATAAAACCGTGGGCCTCTCCTTATATTATCCGCAATTTTGCCAGCCCTGGACTTAGCAGCCCAGTTTATGACTCGTTTGGGAGGGCGAATTGAAAATTCTGTTAAGCTGGTTGAGTTGTTTTAAAGTGTTTTTGAAAAGTTATTCAAAATAGCTGTAGCGGATAATCCTTTAAATGACTGACTAACAGTTGATTTGCTGATTGCTCTTTAGACTTTTCGTCAAAAATAACTTGGGGGCTGTCCATGCACGTAGGGTCTACATTGAAAAGGGAGAAATCACTATGCTTCAACCATAAAGAGGCTGAAGAGAACAACTCAAAGAATTACTTATCGACAGCCAAGAAAAACCATAAAAATGATTTTTATGAAGCAAAGAAAAACATGTACACATCCTAAGACGATCTCTCTTATGGTCCATAGATGATTTTTGCTTTTAAAAAAATTAAGAAGCCCAGATTTCATAAAATAAAAAATCGTGCAAATACCATAAAAATGTGATATAGTTGTACATCCCAAATATGTCCTATGCATGTAAAAAAATTGATGGGCAGATATTCCCATTGTGTGAAATTTGCAGGAATTTTTCTTTTCAGAAATCGAATCTGCTCCCAAACGGGCCCTTAGCGAGTAGCATTAGCATGAGCTAAAGCGACTGTCCCAATAGGAGGAAGGACATTTTATTCTTGCAAATTATTTTGGTAATGTTTATGTCTTGTAAATTATTCTGTAATTGGGCAAAGTCCTTTCAAAAATTAGTCTCGAATCGGCAAAATCCTTTCTACCCTTACAAGACTTAACGATAGGAGAAGGAAACGGAATAAGGGTCGTTACCGAAACAGTAATAGACTGTGGTGTATTAAATGCAATTGGGCTTGGGAAAAGCTGGGACCTGGGCTGGGATAAGAAGTGGCACGAGGATCAAGAGTTGACGGAGGAGAGTGATTCCCGTCTCCCTCTCTCTCTCTTTCTCTCTCTCTAGTGCATACTGCATGCTGAACCACGTTGTGTTTTAACTGCAAATGTATGCTTTCTGACACAACCAAGGACAGTCATAAACGCTTTTCTTTCTTTCTTTGGGTTTCTCTAAGCTTCGAGTTTCTTTTGAAATCTGGAACCTGAATTTGTTCATACGATTCATCCATCTATCTACCCCCCCCCCGGTCTCCTTTGACTTTGATGATCCCAATTCCCAATCCATCGACACCCTTTATCTATCGAAGTACTCACCCTCACCGTCACAGTCGTCAGTCATCGCCTCTGAGTTTCTCACTGTGGACTGTAGAATAATATTAATAATAATTAATGCCAGTAAGATATTAAAAAAATAAATCTCTTTACTTTTTATTTATTTTTTATTTGATTCGCTGGCGGTAAAATTGAGGGGAAGGTGTGGGTACCATGTACCCTAATTCTGACGCTTGTCAATTGATGGCGTGTGATTGAACGGAAGCCGTTGAGATTCGGGGACTTATTTTCCCCAGGTGCCCTCTACACGTAGAAATCTCTGAACGGATGGAAGCACCTCTCACTCTCAATCTCATCTCCTCTTTCGTTGAGGCCAGGCTGAGGCCAGCCAGAGGCAGAGGCTAAGATCTAAGAAGTTGGTGGATCCGACTTTCTTCCTTTCACCTTTATCTGGAAGACTGGAACTGAGTGAGAGGTCACGGACTCACGGGGGGGTTACAGGTTTGTCTGGTTCCGTCCCTGGAGGGTGTGTGGACAATAGTATTTTGTCTATGTGTTGGGTTTCCTTCCTCTATGGGTGATGGCTCTTCCCATCTAATCTTTTGTAAGGATATGTCTCCGTTGGGGACCGCTTTACTATAATGACGGTGACGGACGCATAATCCCTAATCCCGTATGAGACGTTGGACAAAATCTGGATCACCAGTGACTGAGTTGCGACCACACCTCATCCTCATCGGAGTTCAGTTCATTCTCATGCATGCCCATATGGCCATATCTGCAAAAGGAGATTGTAATTTGACGAACTAATTCCTTTGGTACACACTATACAGCAACCAATAGTAATGTAAAATCCACAACGTACATTCACGATCACGTCTTTTCTTTTTGGTTAGCCTATCTTATTAAGAGACGATCGAGGTACTCGATCCCAGGTTCGTCGCTCAGACGAAACCACGTTCACTGACCTTACCACCTAGGCCAGCTGGCAACTTCAAAATCACTCGACAAATAACTGCAGTAAGTAGCAAGTGAATGAAAACTGAACATCTCTTCTTCTCTTGGCACGAAATTTTGTTCGGAATAAAGAAGCGTACAAGAAAGAAAACGAAAAGAAAAAGAAAAGACTTATTCTTGTTAGTATGATGGATCGACTCCCGGTCATTTACTTCACCGTCAATGTTAGAATTAGAAATTAGAAATTAGAAAACCATCAAAAGGAAAGAAAGAAAGAGCCAAGCAAAGCTTTAAAGGTCAACCAAAAAAGAAGGGCATCATTGGTAATGATGAGTGCCGACTGCCGACGACAATAAGAAATTCAAAAGCAGCGAGGGAAAACCTGAACCCCACTTTTTTTTTAGAATTTCTCAGCTTTATGTTTTTTTTTTTTTTTTTTCCTTTACAAGTTACAGCAGCAACACGGCATAAAAAAGGAGACGACAGAGGACTGAGAGCCTTCTTCTCCTAAAATCTTGACTAGGTTATTGGCCATTGATGAGGCTGAAAACTTGATGAACTGCTGCTGCGATCTCATCAGCTGAGCCAAGCTTGCAGTCATCTTCCATCTGCACAATCGGACGAAAATTAAACAGAATATGGTTAGCCTTGGCCCTTGGGTCTAAATCAGAATCATCCAAGTAATGACGAGGTTTATAAGTGTAAGTTGATTGAAACACTACTCTGGCTTTACCTATACCTTGAGATTGAAAGAGTACAGAACCGAGCGTTGGGAGGATGTAATATTGAGGTGTAAGATGGTTAGTCTTAGGTCTTCTAGAGCAGCAATGACTTTGAGAAGCTGTCCAGGCCTCCTGGCAGATAGAATTTTGAGGTTCACATGGGTATGGATAACGATCACTTCTATGTCAGCCACCGCTGACTTGTTCTCGGCAGTGAATTCCTCCTCGCCGGTGTATTTGATATCCGACGACGCTAGCGACGAGTAAGTGGTGTACTGCGGCGAAATAAAGAACCCATTAAATGGGAGGGCCGACGAATCCGGGTCCCGGTGGTTGTGGTGGTTTTCACTATTGTCGCCGTTGCCTTCCTCCTCGGTTTTCCTGATTCTCTTTTGAGCTTGTAGGGATTGCAACAGTTGCTCCAATTCTTTAACAAAGTCAATGGCACCCCCAATGATCGATGCTTGGTCACCCTTAATTAAATCATAACCGTTAATCTTAAATCAGTGTCAATCTATCTAATTTTTCATGAGATAAAAATATTCACTGCCATGGGATTAAGGAACCTAGAAAAACAACTTACATGTATATCAATAATAGCATGAGATAAAATAAGGTAAACTGACAATTAAGACCATAAATGGGATTTAGGAGATATTACCCTTTGAATAAAGGAAGTGGGCATCAGGGACCGGAGAGCATTGAGATGGTCGTTCATCTGCCGTCTCCGGTTCCGTTCGACAGCAATGTGGGTCATACGTTGCGTCTCTACCTCCTCTTTGTTCTTGCTCGGTCTTGTTCGCTTTCTTTTTCTCTTCTCCCTAGTAACCGGAGCAGGCATGGTAAGCTGGGGAGACGATTTTACCATAAGCCGGTCGTCTACCCTGTTGGAGGGAGTCCCCGAGTTTTCGGCTCCACAGTTCTCCGGTGAATTGGGCCCCACATTGCATGCGGAGCTTACAACCTCGAGACACGAAGACGACTGTGGATGATGAGGTTCCTTGGTTTCCGATTTCACGGTTGAATGTGCTTCCGATATGTCATGGGTGATCTTGGTTTCCGATTTTACGGGTGAATACGCCTCCGATATGTCGTGGGTGATGCAGCTTTCCGGCTCCAGTGTTTGGGCACAGGGATCCACTTCGGTCCAGTTGTTTCTTCCCCATGGTTTCTGCTGCTGTAAGCGTAGCAGAAGCTGAAAACTTGGCTCGATTAATGAGGTAAACGTCGGCGACTCTACGCTTTGTAGCATCTGAAGAAACGGCATTTTGTCTTGTAAGCTTGGGATGGCAAATGGTTTCCGTTCTTCCTCCAATCTGAAGCTCTCCGTGCTGATGAGCGACGACCCATGAGTGAAATCAAAAGCTTTCTCTCCCTGTTCCAAGAGCTCCAAGTTCAAATGTTCTCCCAAAAACTGGCGAGGAAGAGAGATGCAACAAAAGGAGGAAGAGGTCAGAAATCAAGAACTTTACATTTGTTTACCTGGTTCAATGAAATGCAAGAACAATAACCTTTCACCTATCAGGTGGGGTTGCTCAGTCTCGACAGAGGAAACAGAAAAAGACCAATCAAAGAAAAAAAAAAAAAAACAGACCAAACAGAATAATAATAGAATAGAATGTTGAGGAGCAGCAGGGCATTGCATTGAATGCAAAGCGCGGTGAGAAGTAAATGCAGTCCCTTCCTGAAATGGGGATTTCAATGGAGAAGATAGAACAAATGAATAAAGTGAAGGATGGTAACTTACACAGGGATTAATGGGTCCTTGGAGCTTCTCCATTACAAGGCAACCGTTGTTGGTAAGTGCGTACTATGGAAGGAATAAAGCTCTTACCTTCCTCCCTCTACCTTTATTTATCTCCCAAATCCCAATCACCAACATTTGATTATAATACTAGGCGAAGTGTAGTTAATAAATGTGTCCAGGAGCAGTGAAAGATCCATAACAAGAATAAAATGCACAATATATTCCCCTGTTTCTGATACAACAGATACACCAATATAGCAAAAATATTAGTCGCCTTGGGAACCCAGAGAAATAGAGAGGGAGAGGTGAAAATGGTGAAAAAGAAAAGGAATTCTGTAGGCCAGGGACGAAGGGTAGGAAATACCAAATAAATTGAACGAGAACACGAGTAAGAGAGCTGTTAAGACTTAAAAAAGTTACGAGAGTGTGAGCGTGTGAGTGTGCGTGCGCGTGTGAAGAAGAAATGAGAGAGAGAGAGAGAGAAGGGGATGGCCACCGGTCAGGATGGTGTTGTCTGCTTTACAAGGTTCCATGCATTATTGGCATGGCAGATTTGTCCAGCAGCGGGGACAGACAGTTGTGGGGACTGGGCAAGCGTACAGCATGAAATAAGAAGAAAGGGGAGTAGCGGGCCTGTGGCATGGATTGTGTGATGATGGGTCAACCTCCCACCTCCAATCGGCCCAATACCTAACACTTATGTTCTATATAAGTATGTGCATGTCATATTTGTGTATTTAGGCCCATGTGTATGTCCCCAATTTAATATATTGTAGGCCCTTCTGGAATCAGCTTGGCATTTTCATTTCGGGTCTGCTTCGATTAAAACCGCAGCCGGAGGTCAAGTCTGAATACATCACACTCGTTTAGCTGTTGTAAAATTGAAAAAAAAAAGGTGACGAGGGGTGATTTGGCCCGTAAGTAAAGGATACGTGGGCATGGCCTGTCATTTGGATAAATCAGTGCAAAGTGCCATGTCAGCAAATCAGGGAATTCGGGTGCTCGATTGTCTTGAAGCCAAAATTACTTTGGTACCCATATATGCTGAGGTGCCACGTAATCAATTCTAGAACCATTTTAGCGGACTCTGAACTACCCAAAATCATGTTGCGTAACCGTAGGCTTTATTTTCTCTCCGTCCGAACTGGAAGGAAATGATAAATCTCATTAACTGATGTATTACTCCCCTACCAAAGTGAAACAGATCCCAACATCACGGGCCAAAGATTCCGGGAACGTTTCAAGAGACCTACGGCATCCCAACTATATAAGGGCGTCAGCCCCAGAAACTTAGGTATGTGCGATTATTTGCTCATTAGTATTGACTTAAGCATTGGAACGACCTCGTCGGGTTAACCACCCCGGATTCTCTGATCCTCTATCTTGCAACTTGGTCCAACTCACTATACGACTAAGGTCCATGTCATCTTCCAGCTAAAAGCTTACAGATCGTGCACAATCAGAAGGAAAGAGAAAAAACAGAAAAATCATTTAGAAATCAGCGAACTGAAAAACTTACAAGATAGCTATTGTAAATTAATAAACCCAGAAACAAGAAAAATGATTGGCAAGTAAAGAAAATAGAAAGAAATCATAAAACAAAGCAATACAGAGCATATACAGAGGTTTACATGATTCGAGTTGTAGCTTACGATCATGAACATTAAAGGAGAAGGGATCCACTAAAATAATAGAAATTATAGTCATACTATTCACAGCTTTCCTCACCAACCCTTGCTTTTATTACATCCAAAGTTCGATCTCTTTCTACATCTCACACATCGGCATACATTCTTTTCTTGGAGCCCAAGATTCAAGATTACTTCCTGTGCAACATACAGCCAGGTCAGATCCTCAAAACTAAGAATGGGATGGGCTCGAATCTGTTATCCATGAGCTGTTTCCACATTTCTATCCCCGAAACATTACAATTGCGCATTGAGAATATCTCCCTTTATTTATTCATGAGGAGATATTTCCAATATATGATGACGGTTCTCAGTGTTTAGGTGTATATAAAAACAACTTGTGAGTAGCAGCAGATCCCAAGTGAAATGGAACAGATTTTGTGAACTTCGCAAAACCCTTACTGCAAATCCTGTGTCCTACAATTCTAGGCTAATTATGAGTCTGGATAGCTGTGAAATGGGATGCCCCACTAATCCAAATGAATTGCAGTTCCTATATGTATGTAGAGTACAATGCAGTACAATTCCAATATGAGTATGATCCATACTACCTGGACCTTTTTTTATTTGGTGATACGCACCACGCTAATAACCCTCTACTTCTATACTGGAGCGAACATACAAACTGAACCACCCCTCAGTTAGCATACCATACGATGTACCATGGGCTTTCTCCACTTTCACCAAAAATCATTATTTTTTTCAACTTTAATTATCAAGTCAAGTGGTGAAGCAAATTTGTCACTGAAATTCAAGTACCAAAACAACAATAACCATGGTACCGGTTATAAAACCATTCCTCTTCTACAACAGTTCAGACTTGGCAGATGGCATTAGGGGTGGATTCAAGCTAAGCTGAGTCGAATATCTGCTTATTTGAATTTAGTTCAGTCATAAATTATCAGGCTCAAACTCAAACTCGAACTCGAGCTCACCTAATAAAGTGTCAAAAGCTCAGAAGTTCGAATTCAGCTGCCTCCGATTGCAGATCTCCTTATCAGTCAAGGTCTCCCTTAGCTGATGAGATGTCAAGCCGAAGTCTCCCTTAGTTGCCAAGGTGCCGAACCGAGATCTCCCTCAATAACCGAGGTACCGAGTCAAGGTCTCCTTCAATAACCGACATAAAGTGGCATGCTATGTATATATACTCAACTAGGCTCACGAGCCAAGCTGTATTAAACTTGAACTCGGCTCAATTAACAAACGAGCCCATATGTTAGGCTCAAATTCAGCTCAAAGCTCGGTTTATACCGAGCCGAGCCGAACTTGAACAACTTGTCAACAGCTTAGATCGTGGCCACCCCTAAATGGCACTATCTCCGAACGGGGAATGATTGTAGAAGATTTCCAATTGGTAAACTCTGATTTCCTAAATACCTTTAACTACAAAACCAACATTATTTGTATAGACTCGGTTGGAAAGAGTACAAATACAAATATATGTGCAGTGCAAATACATAAAAAATAATATAAAATATAAGATTTTTCACTTTACATATTTGTATATTTATATTTGTACTTCTTCTAAACTGAGGCATATTTTTACTCATTCTGGGCCATTATTTGCTTTCCAACACTAAGTTAAGTGGGACATGATAAAATTAAGAATGCATATGCTTTAATGTGTATTCATTTTCAGGGTTTCCTTCAAACACGGAAATCGTAACAAATTTACAGATCAAAGAATTACAACTTCAGAGGACATTATTTTTTTCTAATTTAATTAGTAAAGAATGGAAAGGCATTGTGATGATTATTGCATAATACCAGAGCTAGATGCATGGCTGCAAGAAACAACTAAATCAAAGCCTTTCCTGTATTATTATTATTATGGCCCCACCTTGAATTAGATGAAGTGAGGTCTTCGATGGTATTTGGGATCTGTTTCCCGCAAGTTCTCACGTCCCTCTACTCAAAGAGGAGATATTCTCAATGTGCAACTATAATATCTAATGGATAGAGATGTGAAAACAGTTTATGGGTAGCAAATTCAAAGCTTTCTATTGTATGTTCCAGGGAAAAAAAACCTTTGTTGTACATAGAGCTCTCCACATAAAGTAAAGGCTCTCCTAGGGCTGTTCACGGGTTGGGTTGGGTCGGTTTACTGAGGTTTTTCCAACCGACCCGACCTGGTCGGGTTACTTGAGATGGAAACCGAAACCGACCCGGTGTTAAGCAAAACTGACCTGATCGGTTTGAGTCTGTTTGGGTCAGTTTTGACTCTAAGTTAGAATTAGAATAGAAGACAGAAGTTATCAAGAAAATAGAAAGTCAAACTGTATTACAGAAAGAAGACTGAAATTTGTATATTTCAAGAAACTTTCTAAGTTCTAATCTAAGTAAAAAATGACACCTAATTCTAATTGTAATTGCCTAATTGGTTGCCTGTTTGGTGTAAAAGACTATAGAAACTAAGATCTTTTGATTCTTTTCTTTAAACTTTTCCAAAAAAAATTCATTGTCTAATTGTCTTACAATACTTGCCATTAATGTTATTCCTAACTAGAAAACTAGGTTAGGTTGTAATTAGGAATTATGATATAGACAACTTAGTTAAGTAGGAACTAAGTCAGTTCGGTTTGGATCGGTTTCGATTTTCACACAAGAAAACCGAAACCGACCCGAACCATCGATTTATGAATTTGTATAACCCAAAACCGACCGATGCTGATGAAAACTCGACCGACTCGGGTTGGATCGGTCTGGCTTGGTCGGTTTGGTCGGGTTGGGCCTTCTTATGAAGAGCCCTAGGCTCTCCTTGCATAAATCCATGAGATTTTATTTTATTTTTGATAAGGGAGGATATATTAAAAATATTTAAGGTGGACACATCATCAAATGGCATTTGAGAATAGAAGAAAGCCATACATGGGAGTTGGCATGCTAAGACCATGTTTGGTTCAATTCTCATTCTTTCTCATTCTTATCCAATGAAATTCTAAAATAGAAAAAAATGGGTAAAAATAGGCAAAATGAGAAAACATTACTATGAACCAAACACTTTTTTCTTAAAAATGAATTCTTTTAGACTGACAAGTGTTCTATGTTGCTCATTTTTATTCTTCAAAAAAAAAAATTGTGCCGATATTTACAAACCACCAGCCTTGGTCTCCAATAATCAATGTTTACCAATTAACATAGATGTTTTGTAAATGTACTTTCGCAAAATACTTTTGTAAAATTTATAAAAGTGGTTTCCTAAAAGTGCTTTTGTACTTTCACAAAAGTGCTTTCATAAAAGTACTTTTGTAAAAGTGCTTTTATAAAAGTACTTTTGTAAAAGTGCTTCCATAAAAGTGCTTTTATTAAAATACTTTCATAAAAGTGCTTTCGTAAAAGTACTTACACAAAAGTGCTTTCCTAAAAGTAATTTTATAAAAATACTTTTGTAAAAAAGTGCTCTTGTAAAGGTGCTTTCATGTAAAAATACCTTTACATGTTTAGTTTGTAATCAAACACTCCAAAGCAATGTTTAGTTTGAAAGTAAAAATAGGGAAAGGAAAGGAAAGGCAAAAAAATCTTTATAAATTTTGTATAGGTTTCTATTCCCTACCTTTTCATTCAAATGTTATTCATTCTTGCTCATTCTTACCTTGAATGAAGAAGAATTAAAAGAATGAGGCACAGAACATGGCCTAAGTGACCACGTGAACAAACGAATGACTTATCTTGTGATGTGCTCGAATGAGC